CATACGTTCCCATGTTCTTATCATTGTCTTTGTTTTCCCATTCATGGATCAAATTCAGCTCTTCATATATCTCCACCGCCATCTTCTCCCTGATCAACTTCCCGTTTCTAGAACAAAGCGCTTTGGGAAAGTCCATTCCAAAAGAATGACACTCAATGTACTTCAGAGCGAAGGGGCCACAATCACCACTTCGGCACTGAGGTACTCCAGTTGTTACTCTCTCATAGGTGTAAGGCTCCAATGTGTATCGTGTCTTTTGTTCGTCAGTCACAGAGCACTCACATAGCAGATAAGGGACCATGTAAATAAAAGGCTTCATTACCTCATCGAGTTCAACGGCTGAAATATGCCTGATAATGCTGTCCCAGACGACAATGTGCCTATTAGGGATTGATATCCATATAGCAATCCAATGGGTGTCATTGTAGTTCACAGGTGCATAGATATCATCCACATCCTCCCCCCAAACCTTCATAGATTGGCAAAAAGAAGGTACCTCGCCTGAATGATAATTCNTTAAGTCGTCTGAAAGTCGTCCAGAAAGAAGACTTCACAGACGACTTAAAGTTAAGTCGTCTGAAAGTCGTCCAGAGAGAAGACTTCACAGACGACTTAAAGTTAAGTCGTCTGAAAGTTAAGTCGTCCAGAGAGAAGACTTTCAGACGACTTTCAGACGACTTAGTTGGAGTTACTTATAAGTTGGAGTTACTTAAGTAGGAGTTACTTACATGGTCGGTGAACCATTCTAATCAGTCTAAGTCGTCTGAAAGTCGTCCAGATAGAAGACTTCTCAGACGACTTAAAGTTAAGTCGTCTGAAAGTCGTCCAGAAATAGACTTCACAGACGACTTAGTTGGAGTTACTTATAAGTAAGAAAATAGAAGACTTACATGGTCGGTGAACCATTCTAAGGGGGTTCGGATGACATGATAAAACCGACTTGGACATTTTCGTGGTTTTTTGTCCAGAGGCCGTTTATATGCCCTGAAACACAAAAATAATCAATCATTTTTTCTAGAGGCAGTTCATAGGATATTAAAGCGACTTACGGATCAGTTTGGAGCCATGTAGTGAGTTCATCCGACTTCTTCTTGTCAACTTCAGCAAAAGGATCATAACCTTTTCCAACAATTTTGTTTGGAATGATCTGTTTGACAGTGTTGTTTCCCTTGAAAGGAGTTTGTTGAGTGGGAGCAAGTTTCCGATCTCGCTCACTTTTTGCACGGAGTTTCACCTTGTATGCTTCCTTCTTTGTTTGCCTCCTAGCTTCTGTGAGCTCTAAATCTTCGGCAGTGGGTTTGTCCAAAACGAGAAGACTGGCTTCACCATCACCACTCGGGTCCTCTACATTTTCCTTCACCACCAGCTCTTTCGAGTCTTTCGAGGGAGTATGACACTTTTCTTTCGCCCCATTCACACTTTCACTCTGCAATGTCGATATACAAAATGTGTTTAAAAACAGACCACAAA